AGTACCATAATACATTTTAAAAGATACACGGTAATGAAACTACCGTAAAAAGGTTTTTTATAAGTTGTATTACGGTACAACGTGTGCCGTAATATATTTTTACAGTATTATGGTACTCCAAGCACCGTAATATTTGTTCAGTGTATTATGATACTCTAAGTACCGTAATTCAATGTATTACGGTACTACGAGTACCATAATTCTATCATGACATTATGGTAGAAAGACTACTGTAAAGGCTATTTTCGTCCGAAAAATCACAAAAATAGGGAAAAAGGGTGTGGACGAGGTTTTGAAAAGTTGCGGGTTTTTTTTCCAATTTCTTTAAAATATAGGTAATTAGCGATAATTTCCCAACATTTTACATCAAAATTATATACCATGATAAAGTTTGAAGGGCACCTTACCTCTACACCTACGGAGGTGTTCGTATGCCAACTGCACCCTTATTATGAAATGTCCATAAGCCATGACATAATTAAAGAAGGGTGCAGTTAGCATACAGACGCCTCCGTAGGTGTAGAGGTAAGGTGCCCTTCAAATTTTATCATGGTATATAGTTTCGATGTAAAATATTCTTAAGATTATCTGAAAATCTACTTTTATATCTAACTAAAAAAATTTAAATTTCAAAAATGGTTAAAATCAAGTAGATCTATAAACATATAAAAATCTTGAAAATGGACAGTGTAGATAATATGTTGTAAAATGCACTATTTCTGAGACTTAAAATCTTTTTATTTTTCATAGTCATACATCTCGATGTAGGTGATCAATCAAAGGGTTTTTCAACATTAAAACTACCTTTTCCGATGGATTTTTTAGGGGCATCCGTAGTTCTACATTATAAGGTAGCATCCTTATATAAACTTTTTCCATTAAAGAAAGGATGCGCGAGCACTAAATCTAGTTTGAGGAGGCAATTAGATTTAAGTAGGATAGATTATATTATTATTAGGTAATAATAGAAGCCAAAACAAAGAATTTGTTAAGATTGATGGCCACAAAGTACATGAAAGGAATTATTTTTAATATCTTGGGTCAATAATCTATGAGAAATAAGTGATTGAGAGAAATATTTGTGGAATTAGAGTTGAGTAAATAAAGTGGAGATGTACTTCTAGAGTGTTATGTGATTGTCGATGAAATTGAAGAGGAAAATCTTTAGGATGTCTATAGGGCCTATCATGTTTTATGGAATAGAATGTTGGACAATTAGAAACTAACATATCCATACGATGAGTGTAGCTGAGATCAGGATGTTGAGATCGATGAGCGGCAAGATGAGGAAGAATAAAATTCGAATTGAATGCATTCGAGGGAATTTAGGTATAGCTCAAATAGTAGATAAAATTTGAAATGACCTAAGTGGTCTAGACATGCGCAGTGTCGACCTAGAACAACATTGGTTAGAAGGTGATTGGTTTAAGTAAAGGCCCTAAAAGGGCACAAAGAAGCCCTAAAAAACATGAATAGATGTTAGTAAGAAAAAATATGGTGACTCATGATTTAACTAAGGATATAACTTGTTAATATTTTTGGTTTTGAAAAATACTTGTGTGTATTTCAAAATAACAATATATTTTTTGTGGTTTTTCCAAAGCTATACTTTGTAGATAGAGAAAATTGTAGGTTTTTAATCCTAATTTGAAGACGAGAGAGTAGATTTAGTGATATTTAAGTGTCGGCATTTTCATGCCTTATACTCTTAATACAAAGGAGAGAATGATGCTGCATATGTGGAGCACATGGAGTGTGTGACTTGGACTACGCACGTAGGTGGCCACAAGGGCACTTGGTGACATACTTTGCACTTCGCTCATATCGGCGACTCAGGCACACTTTGCACTTTGCTCGTATCTGTGTGTAAGGCGCCTCTCGCCCAAGCACGTGTACATAGGTCGGGATCGAGGCTCGATATCTTTTTGTGAGCATAGCTCATATGGGACATCCAACGATCATCTAGCCATTGAAGATTGTAAGCATGGCTCGTTGGACGTGAGCATGGCTCGCGTGGGACATCCAACAGTCATCTAGCTGTTGAAGAAAAGGATGTTTGTAACAGCATTCGTCGAGATTAAAGAGCGTGCATAGAACTTGTGACGGTTAGTATTACATGTGAGCACTCCTATAGTAAATAGGGCAGCCTCTAAGAGCTTTATAAATCCCCTTTGCCATACGAGTTACACTTTTGCAACACTCTCTCAACACACCTTTCTTTGTGAAATTTCAAAGAGCATAATAGTGAACTCATCTCTCACTAGTCGTTTTTTGCTCTTTTCTCTCTAAACAATACTAGACTTTGGTGTCTACTTTGGGCTTCGAGCTCTGGACATAGAGGTTTGGAGCATCTTAAGAGACCACTTTTTTTCTGTATCCCGAGGACCAGTTGCCCTTCTTATCCACATATATTACAATATTGAAAGGGGGCAAATATTGTCTTGAGATAATGCTCTTGCATACCCAAAAACAAGAAGGATTCAAGCTTATGCTTTTCTGAATTTGTACTATATTTTTGCCCTTATTTTACCCAAACGATCTCCAACAATTCACGACAATATTTATGGATGAAAATAATGAGACATCCATGACTTCCTTGAAAGTTATGAACAACGATTTTATAAGACTCGAGCGTTTCAATGGATTGAATTTTAAGAGATGGCAATAGAAGGTTCTTCTTTTCTTGCTCACTACTTTCAGGTGGCTTACATAGTCATTGAATCTATGCATGTACCGCCGCCACCATCTAATGATTCCATTGATGAGCAAATTCAAACCTACAAAAGATGAATAGATGATGACTACATTTGCAAATGACATATCCTCAATGGTTTGGTAGATCCCATATACGATATGTCTGCATCCGTTGCCACAACGAAAGAGCTATGGAAGCTTCTTGAAACCAAATACCTTACTAAAGAATCTGGTTACAATAGGTTTCTTATTTTTAAGTTTGGATTTTAAATTAATTGAAGCAAATCAATTCTTTCTCGAGTATATGAGTTGCAACTTGTAGTCAATGAACTTAAAGATTGTGGAATTCAATTAGATGAATTTTTTTTAGTAGGCACTATAATTCACAAACTACGCCCATCTTGGAAAGAGTATCAAAAGAAAATGAAATATAAGAAAATGGACATTGATTTGATTCAACTTCAGAGATCTCTTCGAATTAAAGAACATAATACACTTTAGGAAAAGAAAGATGAAAACATAGAATTTCATACTAAGGCAAACCTTGTTGAGCAAAAGCAAGTGCTTAATATAACAAGAAGCCTTTCTTTCCTAAGTTCCACAATGATAATTCTAAGGACCAAAAGACTTTTACCAACAAAAATAAAATGAAAGCATCATATTTTGTATGTGGAAAGTTGGGGCATTATTCAAGAGAATGTCAATGCTAAAAAGGGCCTAAAAGGTCTAGAAACCAAGTGAACATGACCACTGATGAATGCTTCGTAGTAATAGTCAGAAAAGTAAATATGATTAATTTAGATGATAGATGGTGGGTCGATACCGATGCTACCATTCATGTGTTAAACAATAGAGATCTGTTTAAGATCTTTGAACTAGTGGGTGATGGAAATTTACATCAACTTGGAACCCAGGCTATGGCGAAAATGCTTGAAAAAGGTATGATGGAATTAAAATTTAGCCCCGAGCAATATTCTTACATTGAAAAATGTGTATTACGTACTGAATACGAGAAGAAACCTTGTGTATCGAGTCTGATAAACTCACTTTGATAAAAAATAATGTATTTGTTGGTAAGGGTTACTCTTATGATGGGATGTTCAAGTTTGATTTAGTTGATGGATTAAAATCGGCCTTCTGCTTATATTGTGACTTCTTGTAATGTGTGGCATGAAAGATTAAGGCATGTTAACTATGATTTTATTAAATTTTTGGTTAAGTTTGGATTGATATTTCATTGTGATTAATTATCTAATAAAAATTTCAAGTTTGATTCCTGCCACTGAACTACTGAATAGGGCAAAGCATGTCTCCAAATTTTAGAATCAAAGTAATATGTTTTTTGTGCTATTAAATAAAAGTTCTAGATTGTTTAGAGAAGGCAAAGTGGTAGATTTCCAGTCACCGAATCACCTTGCCGTTAAATCACTGGGCTAGGAATCCGTTGGCCAAGTCTCTCTATGGAGAATGAAAACTCTCACCAAGTACTCAAAGATGCCTCTATACCAATCATTCTCTGGTGGGAAGATACACCAATGATGAACGGTGATGATTAACTCTATCTGGGTGAACATCATGGGTGTCCTATGCAGGCAAATAACTAATGTTTGAATTCCCCTTCCGATACGATATTTATATAGAGCAATGATTTCATGCATCCGTTGTATAGTAATATGATGCAGCAACATTTAAAAACCATCTTATGGCCATTTGTTTCATCCAAATTTTGAAATATACACTTTTTTCATTCTAATGAACAATCACAAAACAGAAAAAATTGAAAACACAATCTGGAAAGTATTTTTTTAGCCTAATTAACATAAGCCATTCATTTTGATGAGATGCTTAGATCTAAACCTCAAAATGATTTTTTCATTTTCAATTTTTTTGGATAGCTTTATTATCATTAGATGGACAATATTAAAAAAGAAAAAATTGATTTTGAGTTTATAAAAACTAAGATCTTGAAATTCACAAAATGAATGGTCTAGATTCATTTTTGGAGGGGACTCATTTTGACTATATCTAAGGTTCAAATTGAACTTTTTTTTTTGGTTAGGGCAGGGGGAGAGGGGAATTGATTACTGAGATGAAGAGAGAGTGCAAAATTTGAAATCATATAAATACCACAAACATGGTTTTCTAAAAGTATCGTTGCATTATACTATGATACAACTGTTGCATTGGATCATTGCTCATTGATATATGTACCACATGCTGTAGGATTGTGGTATGCTGATTATGGTATAGCCTTTCATCGCTAACTGATGATGGTCCACATATACAAATATCTTTTTGTACCAGGCTTTAAGGAACCCAGTCTCAAATTGACAGTTCAGAGAGGTTCATCCTCCTACAGTAGATGTTGGAGACAATTTTCATGAGCATTTTCAGACCCTCACATTACCAAAAGTAGTTATAAAACGTCAAAGCCATGTAAGATATTGATGAATAAAATAGTACAAGTTTGTCAATCAAATTTTTGAGTATCAGATACAATGGTGACATGATCACGCCTCAAGACTTCATTGTCCATTGGTTTACTTTGCTTCTTTTTCTTCCTGGTCTTCCTCTTTGATCTCATCTGCTGCTTGATACTTCTTTCCCATTCCTTCTTATGTTTCTGGTAGATTGCCATGGCAGCTTGAGCATCTTCAACCTGCAACCACAATGATCATCGGGTTTCTCTATCATTTGCTGGTTCATGGAGAAGTAGGCTACCAATGACCAGGCCAGCCCCAGCTTGAATTTTTTTTTCTTATTACACCAGGCCGGGCCTGCATTTCACGTCTTCTCAATCAAAGCATTAGTAATTTCATGTAATCTTAGTCCATAAGCATTCAAAACCAAATCAAGGCATTGCCCAGTAAAGAAGACATGTCTCAGTCCATGTGACATTAAGGATTCCAATCAAGACAATGCCACATCAGTAATCATAGACAGTGCAATCCATAGGATTTTGTGCGCACACACACACACACACAAGAGAGAGAGAGAGAGAGCGAGAGAGAGAGAGAGAGTTGCAGAGTTCTGGCTAGCGTCGTGGCTTTCAAATGGGGGGACTGGGGGAATTGGCATTTTTTGTTTTTAACTTTGAGGATGCATAGAACATATCATTATCCAGAGAGTATAACCTTTAAGGTTATATGGAAGGTATAGTCGATGGAATGTAGATGACTATGTTCACTATAGAATTCTATTAGAGACTAGGCCGGGCCAAGGGTGGCTTGGGGTCCGTCAGAGACTAAATGGGCCTACTTTGCCAGGCCTGCAGGTGACCCAAACCTGGCCCAAAGCAAGGCCCACCAGCAGGTGCAGCCCATTTGGCAGCCCTGGAGATTGCACCTTTTATTTTTCCTTCATTAGTTTACTTGCCTACAAAGATCAAAACTTTATCCTGTTTCGCGTGATCAAAAACATCGTGGGAAATGCATCATGCTATTTCTTTTGGACAAGCAGATGGCCACAAACATCAATCTGTCACTGCACTTGAGACAGCAACAGGGTCAGAATGCCGCCCCATCTTGTGTTTCTGTGGTGGCAAATTATATTGCCTGGAAAGGGGGCGGTGTTTCGATGTCTAGCCTTTCCTCAGGAATATAAGTTGGTAAAAACTGACTGACTCATAAAGGGGTTCAGAAGGCATGGAATTTGATGTAACTCTAAGATCAGCTATTAAAGTAGTCCATGGGAGGGCCATGAAACCCACATTAGAATTACACAATAAGTTCTACTGCACATAAACATATTAAAGCATCTATGTGTTAGATGTCAAATCTGTTTCTTTTTTATAGCAAGCTAGATGCCAAAACTATTTGCATACTTTTATGGGACAAATTGGTTAAAGCAAGGATTTCAAAGCACCGGCTAGGCGAAACCATTATGAAAAAAATTTGGTGGATCTTGGTCATTGTGAAATTTGGAGACATTATCTAGTTATCATGTGAATGAAGTGCATCATTCATAAGATAGAAAGGGGTGGCAACCCGAATGCTAAAAGAACAAAACAAAATTACATGACATCCACACAAAAGAGAGGAACAGAGGTCGATTCTAGTAACTGATTTACTGCAACATGCAATTTCTGCAGCATGACCTTACTGAATTAAATGCAATCTTGAGGGATAGCTTACCGGGCAATGCTCCCTTTCTTGGATCGTTACACCAAGATAGAGGGATGCAAGATCGCGTAAAGCACTTTTCCGTCCATCCCTGATTAAAATCATGTTGAACGAAAGAGAGTGGCATCAATTGTTACAACAAAGGATGGGGATGTACCATTAATAGGATAGTAAACAAAAATACCTTTTAAAAGGCATGTATTCTGATGTATCCCTTGTATCCTTTTTCGGATGACTCAGCAGTAGTGCCTGGAATAAACAATAAGAACCCAGTCAAAAATGCAGAAAGCATATCTTCGCATTAACAATGAATAAAAGAAACATTTCGTTCCCTAATAACCGTGCAAAGCATAGTCAAGGAACTCTTTTGTACCTTAAGATCATTGTGCAAAGCATGGCCAACAAGAATCCTTCCCTTCATTAAATCTGCAACATGCTTTTGAACAGTCCAGAAGTCCTTCGCTGCAGATATAGTGATTGAGGAGACCAATATCAATCCAAAACGGAAAGCTTCCAGTTCAACACCATCAATGGTGATATTGCTTGAGACAAAAACAAGTACTTACAACTTTGATGGAAGAGGCATAAACCATCATCCATTATATTAAGAACCAAGTACTAACCTTTCCTCAAGTTATGGGGCCGAATTCCGCTAATTTCAGATCGGAAGTCAACAACACGCTCTATTGGTCTCACATATTCATCATATATGACGTTCCCCCAAGCATTTACCTAAAAGCAAACCAAAGCATCAGTAGGAACGAATAAAACACCCTATCGTATACCTCTTGTGAAAAATAGCACACCACCCAAAAAGCTCAACGCTTGTAAGCCACAGCTAGCTTCTGAATCAGAATAGGCAATGCAAAATAGCAAGCACAAGTTCAAATTTCCAGTCTGAAATGGATGGAGTCCATAAACAAAATTAGATGCCCATGCTCTGCAGGGATGTTCAACTACTAAAACTGTTGAGCACTTAATATGTTCTCCCATATGACAAACAAGTAGCATTCAACTACCTTTCCTGTCACGATTCAAAGTCCCAGAAGTGGGGACGAGGAGGAGGGGCTGGGCAGCAATCAGGCAGACAGACGAACAACTTGAAAAGCGAGAAGAAAAGAGTATTTATGTTTAATTCCTACACCATATGCCACTGGCATAGGTTTTTGCCAAAATTATAATGTTTTCAAATCAAATCTAATACGCAAAAAGGGACAGATCAACATATTTCCCACTTTTTTAGCATTATTCCAGAGTCAAGCCTGTGATATCCACTCAATCAAGAAATCCATTTCTGCAATAATAAAAGAAAAAAACATATTTCCTTTTCAATCATGTAAGGTTGCTGACTGCATTTATCTTGATTCTTCAAGTCTAGTGTACATATTGACTTCAAAAACTGAACTTCATTGATGGCAGCTGAATGTGTATGTTTTGGCTGATAAAGTATATGACATGTATACCTACCAGTTGTATTTTTGTAAAGACTTGAGAGAGGGCGCCCCCTGCCCCCTGCCCCCTCCCCCTGCCCCCCGCCCGCCATCCCCCAAACCCCAATCCACCCACACACACAACACACACACATGCACACCAATAATCCATCTCTCTACGCAGCCTAATAATGAAGTTAAGTGCATCATTTCAACAATTAGGGAACCGAAGCAGGAAAAAAATGACTTTTAGGCCTACCAACATGGTTCTCACTTTTGGCTTGAACAGAACTACAACACAAGTCCCGCCTTGGGGTACCCACAAAGGTTTTTTCTATTCTCTAATTAAGCTATCTACACTAGCCGTGGCTATCCCATGGAATCACCTTCAGACCTTTAGAACCTCCTTGCTAGTTGTCTCATAGAGTCCATGTTCTATGGCTAGAACACCTCCAATCTACCAGCTTCCATTCATGAATCAAGTCTTCCACACAAAAACCAAATATAAGGGCAAACATGATCAAAGCATCTTTAATGCACCAAGTCACAAATTTGGTAAAAGGCCATACAGGTCACTACTGGTTCTCTGTGATGATGCCTAAGGGTACTTGTGCAAATCCCGTTCTTTTCTTGAACCCTAAGGACAGTCAAGTTATACATCTTCTATAGTAAGGCAACCTCTCTTAAGCAAATATTGCACAGAACTTGTTACTGGTGAGACCATTCACCAAACCAAGCATAATCCAAGAAACCTCCTACAAGATCAGGACGATATCACTTATCAAAAAGCCATTGTTCTTCCTGTACTATCTTCGGATGGATTTGATCAGAAAGTGACCCTTGTTCCAATTCTGCAATAGCTTAAGGCTCCACTAGGGGAAAAGCATTGTCAAAATAGCTCAACAAACAACCAAATTCCTCTATAGCTATGCATTTCTTAGGTTTCTCATTTGAAGTGAGGGCATCAAACTAACTGATCCATACCTTTCTTCACAAAATCCTTACCAACACCATTCCTATCGACACAAGCCCCGTTCTTTATCTCAGCATGAGGGGAAACTGCAGCAGTAACTCCTACTTGGGACCACATTTCTGGAGGAGAGTTCAGAACTACAATTTATCATAACATAAATAGGATCGCCAAGAGACGCTTCCAGTTGCAATTTTTTTTTGATAATGTTAACGTTTGTATAGAAGGAAAGGAGTACAAAAAGGTTGTTCCAGGGGACCCACAGGCCGGGTCACCTGGCAAAACTAGGTTACCCCAAGGAGTAACCCTAAACAAAAAATGGGGCTTATATCAGTTGCCCTTTACAGCAGTGTACAGAGAAGGCCAAAAAGGCTTAAGGAAGTCAGCCATTTGCAAAAAGAGGACAAGAGGAGGAGTCCTTCGGTGCCAAAATAGGCTCGGGCCCCTTTCTTCTAAAAGTCCGTCCCTGAAGCTCCATGATCCACAGTCTGTGCAAGAGCCAGCTGGTCTGCGAGGGAGTTTGATTCCCTCCAGGTATGAATCCATAAGACAGGAAGATCCCTGCATATGTGGAAGATTTCATCAAAGATAGATGCAAGATACCAAGGAGCAGGGGCTCGAACAGCTGCCCAAGTTAAGATGTTCTTTGCATCTCCTTCTACCAGCAAGGGCAGGTCCGGCCAGATTGGAATGCTTTGAGTCCCAACAGGAGAGCCAAGGACTCAGCCAAATGAGAATCAGCATGACCAATGTGAGATGAGAAGGCTGCTAGAATGTGTCCGAGAGGATCTCGGAACAGTCCCCCCTATGCCCGATGGTCCAGGGTTCCATAGGGAACACCCGTCAAAGTTAAGCTTGATGTGATTTACCGGAGGGGGCAGCCAGTTGTTTGCTCTCGCTGCCCGGTGCGGTTGGAATTGAATGACATCTTCCCACCTGTGAATGAAAGCCGTAGCTGAGATGCCATTGAAGGCTTTGTGGTTTGTTGCCCTGAAGATCACTAAGGATGAGATTCTATGATAAAGGGCCGGGACCTCACTTTTGGCACCTCTAAATATTCTGGAATTTCTCGCAGTCCAAATTACACATATGGTTGCTGCTATGGATGCCGTTCATAACAGTCTACCTGCCTTGGGCCAAGGAGGTCTGTGGCGAGGAGAAAGAGACTTGGAATAGAGGCTGGGTTACCCAAGTCAGACCGAAGAGTCCAAGGATTTTACTCCACAAGCTATGGGCAAGAGTGCAGTGAATGAAAAGGTGAGGGTTGGCCTCTTCCTCGCAGCAGAACATAACACACCTATTGGGGATTGGGATACCTCTCCGTTGTAGGTGATCTACCGTGAGGGCTCTTTCATAACCTGTTATCCAATTAAAAGCCTGCACCTTTGGTAGGGCAATGGAGGACCACACCTTGAAGACAACTGAAGATGGGGATGGAGGGGAAGAGGGCTGTAGCAGCAAAATCGTGTAAATGAAGAAACCGAAAAGAGTCCCAAAGGCGAGGGTGTCCAAATGATTCTATCAGCCCCAGAGTGGGCCAAGAAGGTGAATGAAGTAAGGAGGCCAATAAGGTGAATTCCAGGAATTCAGGATCCAAAAGGGAACGTCTGAAATGAGGGTTCCAAACCCTTGGGCCCCCTAAAGCTAGGAGTTCTTCAGCTATGGAGGAGGATGGATTGGAGACCCGAGAGAATAACATGGGGAACCTATCCCTCAAGGGGGTGTGACCTAGCCAAAGGTTAGACCAGAAACTAATTCTGTGACCACCCCTTGGGTGAAAACGAATATTTTGCTGAAAAGCAGTCAGGGCCATAGTGAAGGATTTCCATGCCCCAAAAGTTCTGGTGGGTTCTCTACCCTCTGGCAGCCAAGCATTCTGTGGGATACGATATTTGGAACGCATCACATTAGACCAAAGTAGATTGTTGTGGTTCGCTAGGCGCCACCACCATATGCCAAGCAGAGCAGTATTTTGTTTCCTCAAGGATTTAATCCACAGTCCTCCCAAATGTTTAGGTTGGCAGACTTTCTGCCAAGAAACGAGGTGAAACTTAGTAGAGTCAAAGTCTCTTGACCAAAGGAAATTTCTCATAAGCTGTTCCAGGCAAATGGCTACAGCCGCCGGCATGTGGAAAAGAGACATAAGGTAGACCGGAGTGTTCGACAAAGTAGCGTATACTAGAGTAGTCCTTCTGGCAAAGGATAAGAATCTGCCTTTCCAGCCAGCTAGACGTCGGTCTACCCTGTCTATAACATGAGACCAGTGTCTCTTTTTGGGTTTCCCAATTCCCAGAGGCATCCCAAGGTAGGTAGTTGGTAGATCTTCAACTTTTCGCGACCAAAGGGGGATTAGTTCTCTTGTCTTTGAGGGGGAAAGAGCGACCCTAATCATAGTAGACTCCCCATATTGACCTTGAAGCCAGTAGCAAATTCGAAACACTTGAGAAAGTGCGTAAGTACTCAATTTCGAGTGGTACAGCATCGATGACTACCAACGTGTCATCTGCATACTATAGATGGGTAACCGTTGGGCCTCTTGGACTACTCTTGAAGCCTGAAACAAGATGGGACTGGTACATGCATGAGATTGAACAATTGAACACCTCAGTCGAAATTGCAAACAGGAAAGGGGACAGGGGGTCCCCTTGCCTTAGGCCCCTTGAGGAAGGGAAGAAGCCTCTTGGTGTGCCATTAATAAGCACGAAAAAGAAGGGGTGGGCGTAACAGCCCCTCATCCATTTTCTCCATCGGGTCCCCAAACCCATCCTTACCATTGTTTCGTCCAAAAGTGGCATGTCGACGTGGTCACAGGCCTTTTCCCAATCGGTCTTAAAAATGAGTCCAGGTTTCTTAGCAACGTGTCTGGAGTGGATGCACTCGTGAGCGACGAGGACCTCGTCAAGGATCTGCCTTTCTTTAATGAAAGCACTCCGATTCAAGGAGATCACAAAGGGGAGCACCTCTTTAATCGTAGTAGCCAACACTTTGGACAGGATTTTATATGTCGAATTGACCGAGCTGATTGGTCTGAAATCCTTGACTTCCTCAGCCCCTTCAACCTTTGGAGCTAAAGCGATGAAAGTGGCATTCATCACTTTGTGAAGATTACCACGATCGAAGAGTTCGTTAAAGAAAGAAATTGATGAAGTCAGGCTTAAAAGTATCTCAGAAAATCTTAAAAGGGGCGACAGGGAACCCATCTGTGCCGGAGGCTGTCTTTGCCCAGGTCTGTTATGGCGTCCAAGATTTCCTGCTCCGTGAAGGGTCTTTCCAACCACTAAGACCAGTGATTAGTTAAGGTAAGGAATTGCAGGTCCCCCATCCTAGGCCTCAGTCAGGCGGGGCAGAATATAGGGAGCGATAGAAGGAAAGAATATCTTCTTCAATGTCAGCTGGTTGATCGAGAACAGAATTTTCGACCTTCAGCGTCGAGATGGAGTTATCTCTACGCCGGCAATTAGCTATTCTGTAGAAATAACCAGTGTTGTGGTCACCATAGCATAGCCATTTGACCCTAGAACGCCGAAACCAGAAAATCTCTTCTTTTTTGAGGGTAGAGAAGTAATCAAGTTTAAGTTGGGTTCTGAGGTTGGACTCGGCAGTGGAGAGGGCTAGGGACTCTTCAGACAGATCTAGTGCTTGAATGGCCGACAGAAGAGAGCTTTTGGTTTGACTAAAGTTCCCAGGAATAGTTCTGCTTCAGTTTTTTAGGGCAAGTTTCAGAAGTTGAATTTTCCTTTGGAGAATAAACCCTGCCCTACCCGAGACTAAGGGTGAGAAAGAGTCCGACCATCGAGCGATTAGAGAGGAGAGAGAAGGCTCTTCCAACCATGCCAGCTCGAACCGGAAAGGTTTAGGGCCCCTGTAAACCGAGTGGGTTTGGAGTAGAATAGGGCAATGGTCTGAAGTAGGTTTGGGGAGGGCCATTGCATGGGATCCAGGGAAGGCATCATCCCATTGCAGAGAAGTTAGGAACCTATCGAGTTTGGATAGTGTGGGTTGGGAAGAATGATCAGACCACATGAACGGATTTCCTTGTAGAGGGATGTCCAGGAGTTCATTACGAGAGATGAAGTCTGAAAAATTGAGCATTCCTTGTGAGATATTAGAGTTACAGTTGCGCTTGAAGGACAACCTTGTGATGTTGAAATCTCCTCCAAGGCACCACGCCAGGTGGGGGAGATTGGCAACGAGATCTTGTTCCTCCCAAAACTCAAATCTGAGGGACACTGAATTTGGCCAATAAACTACTATAAATTTCCAAGGAAAACCGTCTGAGATTCTTGTGAGGATCGTAGACACCGAGAAAGTGCCAAGGTGAGAAGAGATTAGGGCGTGTTCAGCAGGGTTCCAAATGACCCAAATGCCTCCAGAGGCTCGGCCGCAGCGATAGAAATCCATTGGCACGGGCGTTGGCCCCAAACCTGGTGGATGAGATGCAGGGTAGGGGTCGGTTGTTTAGTTTTCGTGAGGGCTAAGATGGATGGGTTGTGCACAAGTCCCTCGCCGCAGAGCGCTTGAGGTCTTGTCCTAACCCCCGAACATTACATGAAAGCAGCTTCATGAGGAATAGTGGGGGTATGACGAAGAATTAAGCCTAGGAGACCTCTTAGGGAGGGGCTCCTGATCAGAGGGTAGAGAAAGGACCCCACATCACCGAGTCTGGTTGTTTGTCATATTTGATGCTGGAGTAGAGGTTTAAGATCTCCCTATGGCCTTTGATCCTAACCTTTAGCCTACTCTCAGCCTCATCCTTGAAACAACGGTGGAAAGGCCCCTCAGGACCATGTTATGGGAAACCCATAACCCTTAGGATCTCCTTGAAATCTCCTTGTCCTTGGTCAATAGCATTGATGGAGTCTAAATCCATTGAAGGGGACGATTACGAGTTTTGAGACCAAGAAGAGGAGGAAGAGGCAGGAGAAGGTGGAGCACAGAGGTCAACAGTAGGGGAGCAGAGCATCTCAAATGGGTTGCAGAGGTAGAGGTCAGAAGGTAGGGTGGGGTAGGGATCCACAAGGGGAGAACCCATCTGTGATGCAGGGGAGGGGGGTGGAGGTGGTCCAGGTGCCGGGAGTGGTAGGAGAGGAGGGAGGGCGCAGAGGTGGTTTGCTGCGAAGGTTCAAGGAGTAGGGGAAAGACAGCTTCCAAGGGAAGTGGTTGCCTGCTTGTTGTGAGGGGTTGGGAGCTCCATGGGCCGACGTAGGGTAGGGGAGAGCCTGGACAGGTGGTAAAAGGGGGTAAGGGTAGGTGGCGGAGGGCTGGAACCACCGACTCAAGCTCAGGCACAAGCATAGGCCCACAGTGGTCCGGGTAGGAAGCCATGTCTCTCCGAGCTTTGAAGAAAAGTGGAGGTATGGGGCTAATAAAGGGGCTAAGGCCGCTAGATCGGGTGGGGTATGGTCGAGAGATTGGACCATCAAAAGCCCAGTAGAGAAGGGAGGAAACTCCAAGGGAGCTGATGAATGGAGTGGTGCTGAAAGAGGTAGAGGAGAGAGAGGGTTAAGGTTGGACAGACCAAACACGAAGGTGTAGGGGGAATAAGAAGGGTCAGGGGTCCAAGAATCAAACATACCACTCCGGGAGGGGTACCCATGAGGGGGGTGGCTGGGCAGGAGAGAGGAGTCAAGGGGCCCGAGCCCGAACGAGGCTTGTAGAAGGAAAGGGGGTCCAGTGAGGGGTGGGGAGGGGGAGTCAGGGGCAGGGGCAGGGGCAGTGGCAGGAGCAGGGGGTAAGGGTTGGGATGGAGAGGAAGAGGGAGGCGGTGGTGGAGAGAGAGGGTCTTCGTCGAAGGGTGAGTGGGCGGGGATAGAGAGAAGGCGAGTAGGAAGAGAGGGGGAGGTGCAGACCAGAGAAGGTGAGAGGGAAAAGATGGGGGCGGAGAGTGGGTGAGGGGCTCGAGGGTGGGGTTAGGTGCCTGAGGGGGTACATGTATGATAGGGGGACGCGTGTCCCCAAAAGGATTCAAAAAGTGGTTAAGATGGGTTGGGATGGGGGAGGAAAAAGAGGAGTGAGCGAGAGAGACGGCAATGACAGGTGTCACAACGACAGAGGTGAAGAGAGGCGGTGAAGGGAGGGACCCGACAACATGGGCCGAAGCAATGGTGGGCCTGGGAGGGGAGGGTCTTCCTGATGGTCCAGCTATATCATTAAGTGAAGGCCGCTGAGGTGGGTCCAAAATATCATAGTCCACCCAGACCTCTTTCCCTGAGTGAGAAATGAAACCGCCATTCGATTGCAAAGTTTGATTTGCCAAGGCAGAAGAAGAAAAGAAAACAGGTGTCACGGGTGGCCGAACAAGTGGAGCAAGAGCATCGTAGATAGGAGGAACAGTTAGGGGTTCGACGTGGCCGGTAGCAAGGTGGGTGGCTGCTGTGTTGTTGTCAGTCTGCTCCTGTGTTAGACGCCACGAAGCTCCCGAAGGTGCCAAACCTGCGAGATGTGAGGTCCCGCACTGGAACCTTGTATGGACCTCCTTCCCCTGTTCCGAAACCACCATTGAGGGACACCGACCATAGCGGTGACGACAGTCGGGTACCACTCCCCTGTCAAAGGGGAGGCCTTGCGGGAAGGCTGAGTAGCATCATGGTTGATGAACCGAGGGGATGGTGGAGAGGCCGTAGTCCAAGACACCCTCACACGAAAGAAAGAGCCATCCACCTCCAACCAAAGAAAAGGCATGAGATGAGGATACAAAGTTTCGAGTAGCAGGCGAATAGATCCCCGAGGAAGGAATTCAAAGGATTTCCAGTAGATCTCAACCAGGTCACCGCAAGCTTCTGCTATCTTCCCAAAAGTGGTAGGGGACCAAGAGTGTAAGGGAATGTGAGAGGTTGTAAGCCAAACCCGCTGCTTCCTGAAGGAGCCTATTTCCGACGACCATTTATTGAGCTCAAGATGTGCTCCCTTGAATGTGGGCAAAGAATCTGAACGAAGAGCTCGAAGGGCATTGGCTTCTGAAGGGAAGTTGAAAAGGATGGTTCCGTTACTGAGACGAAGGCATCCGAGTTCCGGCTCCCCCCAAAGACTCTGTCCCCATTTTTCAATTGCCCTGAAATCATCTCTCCTGAGTTGAAAGAAACCTACCAAAGATGAGCGAAGTTTGAGTTTGAGGGTAGCAAAGATCTCGCCAGGAATAGGAATGGTCGGCGGGAGAAAAGAAGAGAAGATTTTAGATAGGGTGGTAGGTGGCTGAATAAGGGGGAGGGGGGGTGGGGGGGTTTGCTACCTCTGTCGAACCGCCGACAGGCTTAGAAAGCACTGCCTGTGCGTAGGTGGGATTGGGTGGTGGAAGACGAGAGGGTAGAGCCAAGGAAGTAGAAGGGGGGAGAGAAGTATGAGAAGAATGCAGCTGGGTAGAAATGGGAGGGGGAGGAGCGGCGGAGGAGGTTTCAGCTAAAGAGGTGAGAGGTACAAACTGTAGATCTTGCTCCAGTCGGTGGGAGGACTCCACCTCTTGGGAGGACCACACTTGAACCTATTCATCCAAAGCCTCCAAATCAGAGCTTTCTATTGCTTGCTGATCTTAAAGCTTTGGGGGAATATGCCGATTATTTAAGACATGCTTCCAGAATATGGCGTATTCCCCTCCCAGAAACTATGATCCAGAGCTGGCAGCTGACTATTTTAGCTCAGGCCTCATGTCCTAGTCTTCCGAGTAATTGAGGTACTTCTATTTATGAATCATCTAGCACCCACCATAAGTAGTGTCTCTCCAATTTCAGTTCCAGTTTTTATATAAAGCAGTTTGTAAATTAGTTGTTGTTTTACCAGCATCTGAATATGATTGGACTTTACATTGTACATTGAGATAAAAACCTGCTAATGTATAACTAAAGTTTTAAAAATTATATGATCAAGTGCAACGCCATGCATGATCAATAACCCCCATGCTTTACTCTAGAACAGTTCTATTGATATAGTAATGGGTTTTATAAAAACAAAACTAATGTCAAATAGATATATTCCAATTTACGAGACACATAATATGTGTAACTAAATTATATGTGAGAATTTGTGTTGTAATATCTAAATGAGATCAAAGAAGATTCATATAACATGAAGAGGAACATCTAGACATAAAACTCTTGAACAGAACCCCCAACATCAAATGCAAAATACATATAACGATTGGAATAACATTTCACAAATTCAACAAGTGAAATCATCATCCAGATCCGATAAACTATAAATAAAGAAAATAAACAAATTTAAATGAACAAAAATAAATGGCATGTAGAAGTAATGGGCAAAAATGAGCACCAGTGTCACCCTTCCAAGTGCACTTTTTGTTCCTTGGGAGCTAACACCGACCATCTCGCAATCCATGGCTACTGTATCTGTTACACTGACATGGAATGGTATAATGTCAAGGCCCTTGGTTATCAATAAAATAAATAATCACAGTCAGTCCAATATATAAGCATTGAAATTACTTTATCAGAGGAATAATGCCATGCAATCAGGAAATCAAGTTCAGAAGCTCCATAGAAGCACTGAAGGGTACGACACAAAAGGAAATCAAAATAAAAAACTTTGCACGTTAGGCCATCTTAAAGTAACATCATTCCTTCAAGCAAGATAACTGATACCCATAAAAGCCCTTTAAATCACTTAAGAATATATCTGAAGCATCTATGATGGGCAAATTGTTATACATGTTGAAATAACACTTTGACATCCGTGTTTCCAAGAAATGTGTATTTAGGGGGTAGCCAAGTCATGCCAAGGCATTCAGGCAATTCTGATATGTGGACATTAGCCCCATTTGGATGTTGTCTTATGTTACCCATTCTCTTCTAGATGTGGAAGGGGACCTAAGAATGTGATTAGTATGGGCTTCATGGAAGGCCCCCTTTGTATAGATGATCTTGAGTTGAATTTGAGATTGAGCATAAGACTTTGCTTGGTTTAATATCCATCAGTTCATAGTGATCCAAAGTGGGGTGAACCAAGTCCAAGGGGGTAACTGCAAGAAACTCTTACAGGTACATTGTCTTCTTGTTTTTATATTTGGTTTTGTGCAGGTGTTCGTGAGAATGTGACAGCAACCAGATCCTAAGGCATTGTATGCGTTTTTTTTGTATTTCTTAATGTTGGAAATGTGTGAAATATTTGGCAACACTTGTAAAATGGGCTTGCCGGTACAGGCAATGAAAGTTGCATGAAAATCACCATTTTAGAGTAGCCTTCCACCTTAAGGAAGTGGCTCCAATGACAATCGAACAGTTTGAGACCCTGTGACAGAGTTGTTGCCTCTGCTTTGAGGTATTTGTGTCCCAATGGAGTCCACCACAGTGTTTTTTTTTATATGCCTCCCACTCCCGATGGGCCCATGTTGCCGAGAAAACAACCATCAAAGTTGAGTTTGATGACTTCAGGGTATGGGTGACGAGAGATTAGATCTAGATAGCTATCGACTTAGTGCCTCAGATGACACCCCTATTCTGAATCAACGTAGCACCAAAAACAACTTCTCCACATCTAAGAAATTGAAGACATTGTTCCATATAACAAGCCCCATACATTGTGTGTTATGCAATACAAGAAATCAATTTGTTTAAAATAGCTTCTTCAATATATCTACTTCATACCAGTGCTTTACACACAACACCGCCTAAAATTAACAATGCAGTCCTTCAAGCAAAATAACTCATACCCATAAAAGCCCACTAAATCACTCAAAACATATCTGAGGCATCTATGATGGACAAAGTGTTATTCAGTGTTGAAATAAAACTTCAAAATCAATGTTCCCAATGCATTGGTATGTAGATGTTTCCAAGTCATGTGAAAGCATTCAGGCAATTCCAATATATGGGCATTAGCCCCATTTTGACATTGTCATATATCACCTGGTTCTACAGTGATGATAGAGACCAAACATAGTTAAGGTTGTTCTTCTCATTGTGACAGTGCTTAAAAATTGCATATGTGGTGTTCCTCTTTTCCATTTTCATGAATGTGAAAGGTCTTTCCCTTTTGTTATTAAGTCATGTTAACTATCTAAATGGGATAGCATTGCTCTGCTCAAATGGTTACCTAATTTGAACTTGACTAAAGTCGAATTTATCATTATTTCATTTTAAACTTCTTTTTTAGGTTTTCACATCCGATTGGTAGATAGAAACCATTGAGAAATTAAACTGCGTAGAGAAAAGATTTTGCCACAAGAATAATGATGTTGAATCATTGCTCTTTAAAATGCTCCTGATTCTTTGAAATGCCAAGCATGCAAAGAAACTAAGTTTATCATTCACAATGTACATATTTGCAAAGTGCTGATTTGTTTATTCACATTCATCTTGAACCTATTTTGTACTCTAAATGTTGTGTAGGCATTTTGTAAGTGAACCAATTTGCTAAATCAATTGAAATACAAGCAGGCATGACATGTATTATTCATTGAAAAGAACCAGGGTTGCGCGAAAAGCCAGCACCAAAATTCAAATCAAGGGGAGTACCTGCAATCAGAACTCGTAGGAGCCAGAGTAGCCGATGGAGTATGAGACTCCTCATCATCCTCTGGTCTCTGTTTGCGTTTACCTGCCACCAATTAAAATCCCCAACATTCAGACTAACAATTTGCCATTCTTACCAGTTTCAGAAACAAAGCTACCAACAATATCATGCATACAACAAGTAAGTTGCGGAACCAGAGAGAGAGAGGGAGAGAGAGAGTTTGTTGGTTTACCAAGTGCAGTGCCTTGGATATTCTGGTGTGGTTGGAGGAGTGTACATCCAGAGCGGTGAGAGCTACGTCGAGTTTTGAGTTTCTGAACGAAATGGAGAAGAGGAATGTTGGTATAAAATCATCACGCAGAGAGAGAGATGTTGAGAGAGAGAGAAACCGCTTGTAGTTGCGCCCAGTTGGGATTGAGGAGTGGAAGAGAGCGGCGGCGTTTTGCATCACCATCCCTCGCCTTCTCCATCACGAACGCACCAACCCACCACCAAATTTGTGTAGAAGCGTACCTGTACTCACTCCATGCTTCACATTCATCCGGCCAAATGGTCTCTCGGTACCATGCTTGTCTCCGTTTAAAATACGATTTTTCCAAGCAATCTCCAATTTTTTAAAATCGGTTTAGAACTCCAACTTCTCAAAATATCTTCAAAAAAAATCTTCTTTTTTTCATGAACCGATGGAAACCCATATTTTATGTATTGTCAAAAAAAAAAAATTCAAAAAAATTTCTTCCCTATAACTTTATTTTTTTATTAACTTAACATTATTAAATTTTTATTTTAAGATAAACAAATTAATAGTAAGAATAAATTAAGAATCTTGATTTAAAGTAAAATTCTATAAAACGTTTCACCAATAATTTCCCTTAAGAAAAAGTCTACAAAAAATTAGACATAATATATTCCCAAAAAACAAGATATCATAACAATCATGTATCTCAAAATAATAGGCAGAGTTAAAAGACTAACACAATGACAAGTGTTTTTTTTTTTTTCTTTAAACCAAGTGCATCCTTATAAAGAGCATTTTGTGTAAGATTAGAATTTGCTTGAATATTTTGAATACTAAAGATTTAAGCAGCTAGGAATTCAGCGTGAGATTCGAATTTGCTTAAACATTTTGTTGCTTTTTTTATATACAAAGAAGTTTGATTAATTGTACTTCTTTATTTTTTATTTCATTGGTGTATATAACATAGCGTTTTGGATGGACTACTATTTTACGTATTTGGGTCTGTATTTTATTTTGTGTTTTTTTCTTCTTCAAACAATAATCATAGGTCTTAGTTTACAATTCTTGTTATCTACTAATGTAGTTCTTGTGTTAAGCATTATTTATATTTCATTTTATGCTCCAAATAAATCTGCGATATGTTTCATGTTGTGACAATAGATTAAATATTGTTGTTAGGCTTATTGAAAGTTTAGACAATAGATTGTCAAGTATGTAAGATCATAAAATTATAGTTCAATGGCTTTAATGTATCTATACAATAATTGCAAATCATAATCCTATATTATGTCATCTTTCCATATCCGATTTTTTCACTCCATATTTTTGAGACAAAGCTGAATTATTCACGACTTTATAACGTACCTTGTTTTTAGGCAATTCGTATTTTCTACCCAATTTTTTCCATCGATTTTTTGAAACAAAATTGATTCATTACCGATGTTTTGGCTTGCCGACTTGTTATTGTTCCATGACGTATTAACTATGCTTAGTACCAAATTTCACTGCTAGTTTCCTGTTGTTTGTATACAATGAGACCATTTACTATTGAAGCAAGGAGATCACAATTAATTATGATCATTCAATGTGAAATCTGATAATTTAGGTGTGTCACAAAATTCAAAATTTTTTTTTATAACTTTGAGCTTAGTTAGTGCAATTATTGCAACCATTCAATTTCACATCCAATAGTCAATATTACTTGTGACCACCTTGTATAAAAGGTAAATTATCTCATTGTATACTTTTCCATAACGGAAAAGGCTTTTATTAGATGAAGTATTTTCTCAATATACTTAACATTTTTAGATATTTAAGTAAGCTGGACATGTGTTGCGTAGACCTGCACTTCTTAAGAAGTATAAATTTGTTCAAGTGGAAAGCTAAAAAAAGACAAGAGATAGACCCAGATGACATAATTAGAAGTAGTGAGAAAATATATGAAGACTTATGGAACTTTCGAAAGTTGCTGGCAAAATTTCTCTACCCTCTGTGTTGCTATCAAGAAATCCATCATGTGGGCATTTGCCTCTCTACCCCTCCTCTCTATCCCCAAAGAATTGATATTTTTCAAAGAGTGCCCAGTCGTCCTATCTGCCTTTGGGTCAAACCACCAAATAGGATGGCTGAAAGTGAACTTTGATGGAAGTGCTCGTCACAATGTGAGTGGCTTCATGGGTTTGCTTGAAGACCACAATGGTGCCACGATCTGGTCCTATTACGGGACGTTGCATTCATGTGAAATCAATGATGCTGAACTATGGGCGCTAAAGATGGGTGTCTCGAAGCTGAATTCTATGCAACCGAAGGTCATTATAGAGGGAAACTCTACCAACGTCATCAAATGGTGCTTAAGGCCGAATCTTATGCCATGGAAACTTAGCACGATCATGGATGAAATCATTCTCTGTTTGGAATCCCATGATGTCCATTTTGTTCATATTATTCGGGGCTTCAACACGGCTGCAGATAACCTAGCTAAACTTGTAGCATCTCCGTAGAAGTTCTTTTCTTGCGTACTGCTTTATTGCCCTTGTTTTGTTTTATTTTGGTTCCCTTGTTTTTTGTCTTCTGTTGTATTTTGTTCATTATCTTAATGAAACATGCATACTTTATCAAAAAAGAAGACAAAGATATGGAGACTTATAACTTCACTAAAAGAATGGCTCTTAATAGAGTAGAATATGTTGGGTTTAAGTGGCCTTTAGAAGCCTTATGAGTGTGTAATGAAAAATATTTATTATAGTAGAACATAAACTCAGTGGGAGTATGGTCCCTCGAGGACCATACTAAGCAAATGGTGTTTGCTAATACTGGAATGTGCTTGGCGATCTAGACCAGTCGGTTGGAAAACTCAAGGTACCTGGGCATAAAAAATAAACCGAGAAGGGTTTTTGGGCTAGCCCTTGATGAGGTCGGAGCTTATGCCTAGATGAGTGAGCCGAAGGACTGTGTGACGGTAGGCCTACAGAGACGGGGGCCAAAACCTCATCCATGTTCCATCACACGGCATGCATATAGATAGATCGTTCGGAAAAGCCAGATATCCACCTTTTGGTAAAGCATATGCATGTGCGAGAGATACCCCTATGCGTCATAGAGTTGTGGTTGCATCAGGTCGTGGTGACCTTGACTTGTCTCTAGGGAAGAACTTGTAATCCACAGACTGGGATTGCGACTCATTGGCTCATCAACCAGACTTTGGTGACCCACTAATGAGCTCCTGCTTGGACTGTGGGTCATAGGAAACATTGGGTCGGTTTGATAAAGCAAGTGTGGTCTGTAGTCCACAGTTGAAGGTGGAGTACCTCGTGATCGTTTATAGAATTCATGAAACATATGGATCCACTTTTCATCATATTAATTTAATTGTATTCATTTATTATAGAAATTATTTTAGATTTACTATTTGAATTTTTATTAATCTTTCAATATTTTATTTATGGCTTTTGGAATTATAAATATGAAGTTATTGATTTTACAAATTATATAAAATTCAAATAATGTTTAAATAAAAATTCAAAATATTTATAAAATTTTCATATGGACCCATAGTGCACATGGACCCACCATGTGGCAAATGAGTGGGGGCCTACATATGCCACATATGGGTGGCACATCCCACCCATTGCTCCCTTTGCTATTTACTTTCATATCAAGTTTTGTAATTTTTGGAAAGTTCATCTTATAAGTATATGGTCAAATATTGTTT